TCAATCTGGTTCATAGGTCAACCCCCCTAAATTTTTAGGTGTAATTTAGATTTAGGCCTTTATTCCCCAGATAGATGACCCCATAAAATAAGGCAGCACCACTTTCCCTGCCCTACTGTATGGAAAGAAAAATAAAATAGTGTATATAATATATATATACTGTGACTTAATGTATATTTACTGCATAAGGTTAAGCTGCTAGAATTAGTTCTTTCAGCAACAAGCAACAACTAACAGAGGCTAAACCTAACCTAACCTAACCTAACCTAACCTAACCTAACCTAACCTAACAGAGGCTAAACCTAACCTAACCTAACCTAACCTAACCTAACCTAACAGAGGCTAAACCTAACCTAACCTAACCTAACCTAACCTAACCTAACCTAACAGAGGCTAAACCTAACCTAACCTAACCTAACCTAACAGAGGCTAAACCTAACCTAACCTAACCTAACCTAACCTAACCTAACCTAACAGAGGCTAAACCTAACCTAACCTAACCTAACCTAACCTAACCTAACAGAGGCTAAACCTAACCTAACCTAACCTAACCTAACCTAACCTAACAGAGGCTAAACCTAACCTAACCTAACCTAACCTAACCTAACAGAGGCTAAACCTAACCTAAACCTAACCTAACCTAACCTAACCTAACAGAGGCTAAACCTAACCTAACCTAACCTAACCTAACCTAACCTAACAGAGGCTAAACCTAACCTAACCTAACCTAACCAGAGGTTTAGCCTCTGCTAAACTATTGCCCAAGTTTCTTTTGTTGGAATCACTTATAGGCTACACAAATATGCATGACTTATGTAGCAGAAACACAATGGTATTAAAAACTTGTTACAGAAATACTGGTAATTAGAATGGTAATATCAGTATTATATGGTAATGCCTACAGTAAATATGTCAAATAGACTTACCAGGGGCCTGACAGCTGAGTAGACAGCGCGTCGGATTTGTAGTCCTGAGGTTCCGGGGTTCGATCCCCATTGGAGGCGTAAACAAATGGGCAAAGTTTCTTTCACCCTAATGCCCCTGTTACCTAGCAGTAAATAGGTACGTGGGAGTTAGACAGTTGCTACGGGCTGCTATCTGGGGGTGTGTAACAAAAAGGAAGCCTGGTCGAGGACCGGGCCGCGGGGGATACAAAGCCCCGAAACCATCTCAAGGTAAGGTTAGGTTATATGTTCTCTGTTGGGGGGGGGGGGGGGTCGTATGTGACTTAATAAACGCTTACCGGACAATACACGCACATACATACACATACACAAACTTACATATACATATTTACACACACACCCGCGTATATATATGTACATATCAAAATTGACACCGACACGCACACACCCTATGTACACAAATGCACAGACATGCAATATGTGCATGTTTACTGATATATTTCACACACATATATATATATATATATATATAATATATATATATATCGACAGTGAAGTTATGACGTCACTTGACCCACTGGAGGCAAAAGCGTATTAATAAATTTAATAATGGCACCAATAAATATATATTGGCGATTAGGGTAATTTAATGGTAGCATTAATCAGAATAAAACGTTAACTTATACGTTATTGAATATATATATATATATATATATATATTATATATATATATATATATATATATATAATATATATATATATATATATATATATATATATATATATATATATATATATATATATCCATCTATTTATCCATTTATCAACACATTCAACAGCTCACTATCACAGAAATTGTCACTACGTCGCCAGTGTGGCAACATTGCACGTCTGCAACTCGGTTAAAGCTTCATTAGCACTCCTCCCCCCTCTCACAATCCCCCCTCCCCCCCCTCACAATAATATCGCAGGCTACTGCAACATTCTGAACACCTCAATTCGAGCTGTAACAGTTTTATGCAAATTTCATCAGGTGGCAACGTTGCAGTAAAACGCCCTTTGCCACTTTATATCTATTTTTATTTTAATGTTTTATCTGTAAGCCGGTTGATGGCCGCCCGACACCCGCGGATATCATCGGGGCACGATATCACCCCGTGGATATCGTGTAATATCACCCGCCTTTTTTCCGGTAAAATATTTGCCAAAAAAAAAAAGTTAATTGATGGTGAAGTCAATGGGAAGGGAGTAACTGGGTGGGATGGGGAAGGGGAGGGTGGGGGGGAGGTGTACTGATGGGGTAATGGGTAATGTTCCTGACCCCCATCCCACCTTCAATTCCCTTAACCCCATTCAACCTTCACCTGTGTAAGTAGGGGAGAGAACATGAACACCTGTGCAAGAAGAGAACACCTGTGCAAGAAGAGAACACCTGTGCAAGTGAGAGAGAACAATAACCCATCAACACGTGTATGGGAACGATGCACAATCTAGGTGGGCGGGGGGGAGGAGAGGTAAAGTGTTTAGGAAGAATGATGGATCAACTCTCCCTGTGGCCGTGAGAGAGAGAGAGAGAGAGAGAGAGAGAGAGAGAGAGAGAGAGAGAGAGAGAGAGAGAGAGAGAGAGAGAGAGAGAGAGAGAGAGAGAGAGAGAGAGAGAGAGAGAGAGAGAGAGAGAGAGAGAGAGAGAGAGAGAGAGAGAGAGAGAGAGAGAGAGAGAGCGTGGTCCCACACTGGAGGGCCTCACCACTGGTACACAACAATGGGAACAATTAATATAGCGTGGCCGGCTGGTGACAATAGTCAGGTGCTGGCCAGGTAGACCCTCCTGGTGGAGGGGGGGGGGGGGCGGGTCGGTATGTGTGGGGGGGGTTACCAAGATGGGGTTTAAGGGGGGGATGAGTTTTGGATGGGGGAAGAGGCTATGAGAAGGGAAGGAGGGGGTGGGGGGCTGGGTCATCAGTGTTACCTTTTCTTGGGGGAGGGGGGGTAAAAGAAGATGGAGAAGGTGAAGGGAAGTTTAGAAATGTGAAAATACAGTGAGAGGTATGACAGCAGGCGGGCTGTCCGCCTTGCTGACACGATGTGTGGGTGTTGGCAGCTAAGCTAAGCTGGCTCCCTCTTGTCAGGGAGCTGTGAGTGTGTGAGAGGTTCTTCACATGTGTTCTTAAGATATAGATGTCTATAGATGAATACTGTGTAGAATTCATATATTCACACTCCGATGCTTCCACGCATGGCATGTTCTTCTGTTCAATTCGATTTATTATATATATATATATTTATTTGAATATATATATATATATATATATATATATATATATATATATATATATATATAATATGTATATATATGTATGTATGTATGAGAACAAAAAGTTCAGAGTTGTAGGCACAAATTTTTGTTGTACACAAACACGTTTTGACTTTGCTTTAATGTTTTGTTTTTGTTTGTTCTGGAAAAGTTCAAGGTTTGGTATAGAAAAAGTTTGTTAAAGAAAAATGTGTTGTCCTGCAGAGTAAAAGTTTTGTAAAAAAAAGTTTCGAAAGTTGACTAGAAGTTGAGTTAGTATTTTAATGGATTGATCATAAATGATTGTTGCCGGCGGAGTCTTGTTCCAGTAAATATAAAGATAACTGGTTTTTACAATTTAGTTATGTAAAGCTGTGGTTCAAATTATTGAATAACTTTTGTTTTTGCAGTGAGTTAAATTGTAACCTAAAGCATAAGTAATTTAAAATTATTTATCTTCAAAGTACAGAGATTATTCCTGGTGACACGGAAGCTGAATATTGAGGCATACCGTCTAGGAGAGATGACTGAGAAAAAAATACATATTCAGGTTATGTAGTTACATATAAATGGCCGACAATTTAGAGATATGCAATAGTTAGAAGTAAGTTGTTTACGTAATTGACAGCAGGAATTGTTGCCTAAGGCATATCCTTTACTAAAATAAAGTCAACTTGACACAATAAACTCACACACGAAGGTACGAAAATAATACTGCAGACACGTTCACCGCAATAAAATACCTTATAGGCTACTGTTCACATGTTCTTGAAGTTCTGTGTGCAACAATATGCTTAGACTGAGTGATGCAGTAAATGGGATAAGGTTATAACACTAATGTCAATACATGGGTTACATTATTACAGTATTATTGATCAGAGATGGACTTTACTACGGTGTGAGGTGATTCAGAAGTGTTGACAGTAGGAATGCGCTACAATGTTGAACACTCACGTAATGTATAGAAACTGAAAAACGACGATCATTAGACCCTCTTTGAATCTTTGGGGGGTATTTTCATAAATTGGGTCCTGTTTTCTTTTGAAATCTCAAGAAAAGATCAGTATCTCACTTCCTGTTGAAATCTTTTATATTATCTTTCTTTTTGTCTTTGACTATATAAATGTTTGCCTGTATGTGTCTGCAGCCCTTTGACTAGTGTGTTAATATATAATGTTATGTCTGGTGACCCCCTGAGGGTGACGTGTGGTGGCAGGGTGAGCTAGGGTGGAGGACACGTGACCTCTTGACGAGATATTGATTCACGGGTAGCCAGAGTACCTCTCCACTTTCCCTGTGTAAGAGCGAGACGATTGCACACTTACCCGTGTTTGTAACTCAAGTTGTTAAGCACTCAGTGGTATTGAAACATTGCCATCTTTGATGATAGGCTTCGCCTGCAATCACACAGAAAATGATACTGCGTGTGGATCTCCTCCACACATATACGTAACTCGCGTGCACAGGTGCACCAAGTCGTTGATGACGCTTCCCAGGTCTCGTCTGTGTGAGCCGTGCCTTTTCCAGCAAATTATTCCCACCAATCATTTGTGTGCAGGGAGAGAGGGGGGGGGGGGGTGGCAAGATGGTCGGTACTATAACTGTGGTACTATCCATCTAAATTACCAGTTTTCCGTCCAAGATTCGACGACTACAATGCCCCAAAACTACAATGGGGCAGAGACTTCCCTGGGACGGGACCTGTACTCTGAAGAGTGCGAATACTCAAGGGTTATCCCTCCCCACGCGACGGAGACCGTGTGCTGCCAAAATAAAAAATGAGCGCTTCCTGTCGCATTTACCTCTACTCAACCAGTAGGAGGGGTCACCATCAGCCATTGTAGGGGTGTCGCTGCCACCCATCAACCATTGTAGGGGGATCACTGCCACCCATCAACCATTGTAGGGGGGTCACTGTCACCCATCAACCATTGTAGGGGTGTCGCTGCCACCCATCAACCATTGTAGGGGTGTCGCTGCCACCCATCAACCATTGTAGGGAGGGTCACTGCCACACCATATATGTTGTAGGGGGGTCACTGCCACCCATCAACCATTGTAGGGGTGTCACTGTCATCCATCAGCCATTGTAGGGGTGTCACTGCCACCCATCAACCATTGTAGGGGGGTCACTGTCACGCCATCAGCCATTGTAGGGGGTCACTGCCACCCATCAACCATTGTAGAGGTGTCACTGCCACCCATCAACCATTGTAGGGGGTCACTGCCACCCATCAACCATTGTAGGGGTGTCACTGCCACCCATCAACCCTTGTAGGGGTGTCACTGCCACCCATCAACCATTGTAGGGGGTCACTGCCACCCATCAACCATTGTAGGGGTGTCACTGCCACCCATCAACCATTGTAGGGGGTCACTGCCACCCATCAACCATTGTAGGGGGTCACTGCCACCCATCAACCATTGTAGGGGTGTCACTGCCACCCATCAACCATTGTAGGGAGGGTCACTGCCACACCATATATGTTGTAGGGGGGTCACTGCCACCCATCAACCATTGTAGGGGGGTCACTGCCACCCATCAACCATTGTAGGGGTGTCACTGCCACCCATCAACCATTGTAGAGGTGTCACTGCCACCCATCAACCATTGTAGGGGGTCACTGCCACCCATCAACCATTGTAGGGGGTCACTGCCACCCATCAACCATTGTAGGGGGTCACTGCTACCCATCAACCATTGTAGGGGGTCACTGCCACCCATCAACCATTGTAGGGGGTCACTGCCACCCATCAACCATTGTAGGGGGTCACTGCCACCCATCAACCATTGTAGGGGGTCACTGCCACCCATCAACCATTGTAGGGGGTCACTGCCACCCATCAACCATTGTAGGGGGTCACTGCCACCCATCAACCATTGTAGGGGGTCACTGCTACCCATCAACCATTGTAGGTGGTCACTGCCACCCATCAACCATTGTAGGGGGTCACTGCCACCCATCAACCATTGTAGGGGGGTCAGTGCCACCCATCAACCATTGTAGGGGGTCACTGCTACCCATCAACCATTGTAGGGGGGTCAGTGCCACCCATCAATAACCAACAACAACAAAAAGAACCAACTGTTGGAAATTTCCAACACTGATACATTACTATTGTATCATAATACATCACTATCGTATGCTAAGTACAGTAACTATTAAATCAACTAACTGTAGTGCTAACATAAATTAATATTTCTTTATCTGAGCATTTATTGCTAAAATTCTCACGACATCGAGAGGCAGGATTGCGTTAGATAATGTCTATCTAAACATATTTATTACCAATATGTTAGAGAATTGAATATAGTTCTCTAATTTTATCAGTATTCCGTGCAACAATTAACTACAGGTAATATAACTCCAAATGATCCAACAACCGAGAGTTATTAACTAAGATTATCACTAAATAACAGTTTTATCTGTTACATACGAACGCTATGGAGGAAATAGGAATTCTCTCCATTTCTCGATTAACGCCATTTAACGAGAATATGATATTATTTAATTCCCTACAATTGCAACCCTGTTCTCATTAACGCATTACATCAGTAATTACACGGAAAAGAATTCTCCGTGATTATTAAATTCTATTGTGAATGCGAGGGAGGGTTGAGGGAGACGCCACTTGCTCACGACGCATTGCTAGTGACGTCATCAAGTACATCGTGCGTCCCGGGAGAGTCGAATTTCCATTAATCCTACGATAGGCCCTAGCAGTTAATCGGCCTGGGAGCGTGCAATTGCTCCAGTAGCGATCTAAGGATTGCTTCGGTGGACATATAACAGGTTAAGTGCTATAGTATTATTTATATTATGAGATCTCTGTATAATTTTTACTGTGCACTGTCCAGCGTTACATTGTATGACCTCCCCAAACAACAAGTACGTCCACAAGGAATTAATTCTATTCCTTCTATTGAATAGTGATGACACAGGATATCTGGTGTAAACAATTGGTACATTTAATTGGAATTTCAGCTTGTGATGAAAGCGGTCGTGGTCCTCTCACTCTCCCACACCACGCTCGGGCACACATGTTGCACCAAGTACCAGACGACACCATCACACCTCTACCTCTCCGTTCACTATCACAGCTAAGCACCTGAATCCTTTTTTCAGTCATTTTCTTTCATTAAGTGGCGTTAGTAATTAATCACCAGTCAGGAATATTTCGTTTATATGATTTGAGACATCTAGTACAATTGGATAGCCTCATTATTAAATTCAAATGAGAATGATTTCTTGTTTAACCATAATATAATCTTCTTGTTGCTAACCAATTTAATGTTTATTTGTATATAACTTAGTAGGAATTACTAATTTTATTCGAGGAAGAACCAGCCTCGATGAAGCGTACTGGGAGTATTTTACTTCTGGTATTAACACCCCATTTTGTGAAGGACGGAAAGTTTATTCTCGAACATTAATTTAATATACAGTCCATTAAGGTTTAATGAATAACTCTTAATAGTTCCATTATCCATAGGCACTGGTATTTCAGTCCTTATCTATTATTCTTTTATCTGTTTCCCTTTTCAGTAAAAATAGGGTGGTCCTTCGATTAATTTAAATTAATCTATTAATCAAACATCAATCAATAAATAGAGAGTAAGCTTTCTTCCCAACACCAGCCACCAGTCAGTAATGCCTGTGACTGGTGGCTACGTCAACGTAGATATCCGCGCGTCCAATTGTCTGAGAAAGAAAATCCTGAATTTACATTCAGATCTCTGATCTCTAAATTTCCTGACTATGACAAAAATATGCCGATGAACTCAAAGCCGAGAGACGAGACGCCCAGATTTCTGGGGAGGAATGTTGCTTGCTTGCTTGCCTGCTTGCCTGCCTGCTTGCCTGCTTGCCTGCCTGCCTGCCTGGTTGCCTGCCTGCCTGCCTGCCCGCCTGCCTGCCTGCCTGCCTGCCTGCCTGCCTGCCTGCCCGCCTGCCTGCCTGCCTGCCTGCCTGCCCGCCTGCCCGCCTGCCTGCCCGCCTGCCTGCCCGCCTGCCCGCCTGCCTGCCCGCCTGCCTGCCTGCCTGCCTGCCTGCCCTGCGAGAGAGAGAGAGAGAGAGAGAGAGAGAGAGAGAGAGAGAGAGAGAGAGAGAGAGAGAGAGAGAGAGAGAGAGAGAGAGAGAGCGGGCCAAACACCCCCCACATGGTACAATGTCAGTGGTTACAAAATGAATTTAAATTATACAAACTACTGCTAATGTTCAAATTACATAATTTTGAAATCTGTATTAAAGCAGATTCAATTATGTTTCTATTGAAAGTGATTTTACAATTCGTTATTGAAGAAGCCATCTCCTAATCAATTTGGTGAGCATCTTCTGACAGATGAACAAACAAAGCATTAGACAATTGGTCATGTCTTACAGAGTATTAATGTTGTGAAATTCTACATTTCAAATCTTTAGATGTTTGCCCAACATAGAACCTATTACAGTCTTTACAAGGTATTTTATAAATGACACAATTATCACTACGAGAGCTGTTTCTAACTAATAGTTTTCAACAGTATTTTCGTAATTAAACAATACATGTATAACAAAAACGTTTCAAGGCCTTGACAATATTTTCAAACCCAGAAAAATATGGTAAACATAACACATTCATTGGGCGAATTTTCTGACTGAATGTGAAAAAGAATACATAACACATTTTTAAAGAAAATTAGGCGTTTCCCCTCTGGATCGCCACACTGAGGCGCTGAAACAAAAAACTGGCAGCTCTTGGGTCTCTGGTGACGTCAATGAGCTTGGAGCCTAATTCCTTGAGAAATCCCAAGGCACTCTTGCCCCAGGGCCATAGGTCTCAGATGCTATGGGAACAAAGGTGTTTTGACATTCCAATCGCCTGTATTTGACTGATTTTGGTATTTCCCTGTGGTTGGCCGCCCCACCTGCTTGATCAGCACCGAAGTGTACATAGGTGTCAGCCAGGGAAGATACACATGTGTAGTCCCACACCAACTGTTTTGGTCCCGTAAGATGCGAGGTTCTCTCACCGCTGGGCACCTAGCTGAGGCGAGGCTTCTCTTGATGATGTCATTGACCTCGTTGTGTCTTGCATGCCAGCCCTTTGTGCTTCCGCAATGCAACCCATGCAGTCCGTATTGGTCTGCTTCCACCCTGTTGCAAATACACTTGTATTTTGTATATATATATATATATATATATATATATATATATATATATATATATAAAATTACATTAGAGAGATGAAGTTTGGGAAGGTGGGGCCAAAGAGCTAGCAGCTCGATCCTGCAAGCATAAACACTTGGACACACGCCCACGCCCTCAACAGGCTCCGGGCAGCACAGTGTGGCTATGCAACCCAAACATCAATATGCAACATTCTGCAACTTGTTCCTATTCAGCAGCCCTCTTTAAACGGAATTCAGACCCCTGAATCCATATTCTCCTCCACACAGCCTCGCCAACATTCTCCTCCACACAGCCTCGCCAACATTCTCCTCCACACAGCCTCGCCAACATTCTCCTCCACACAGCCTCGCCAACATTCTCCTCCACACAGCCTCGCCAACATTCTCCTCCACACAGCCTCGCCAACATTCTCCTCCACACAGCCTCGCCAACATTCTCCTCCACACAGCCTCGCCAACATTCTCCTCCACACAGCCTCGCCAACATTCTCCTCCACACAGCCTCGCCAACATTCTCCTCCACACAGCCTCGCCAACATTCTCCTCCACACACTCGCGAGAGAAGAGAAAGACTGTAATTCATTGTTTACCATTTTACCATCTGAAATTGTAATTAACATTTCCAGATAAGGAGTGTCGAGTGGAGGTTGTCCCGCTTGTGACTAGC